GGAGGACGCTCGCTTCGTCGCCGACCGCCGAGGATGTCTCGACCAGCGATCCATTCGCGAACACCTGTTCCTCGCCGGTTCCTCGACTATCCTGCTCCTCCGCTTGCCGCCGCTCGGGAACCGCGTTGCCTCCGGGGTCTACTTTGTTCGGAGGCGGAGGTTCCGGTTCTCTGTCCCGTTCTCTCGATTGACTCTCCTCGTTCTCCTCGAGCTTCTCGACCTTCCCTTCTTCCGCGTTCTCTACCTTTCCGCCTTCCTCTTCCGTTTCCTCCGGATCCGCGCTCTTCTCGCCGCGTTTCCCCTTTTCTCTCGACTCGAGCCTTCTATCGACCGGACTCGTCCTCAGCCTCTTGATCAGAGGGTCGCAACGATCCTCCCGAGTCTCGTCCTCGTCCCGTTCCTCCTCCTCGGATCTGCCGCTCAGACGATCCTCCTTCTCCGGTGACTTCGCCTCGCTCGACGACCGTTCGAGATCCTCCGACTCTGTTTTCGTTTCCGGACCGGTTGGCCTGGGCCTCCGTCGCACCGGCCTCTGCGACTGACTCTCGACCGGACTCTTTACGGCCGTGCCCCGTTTCCGCAGCTTCGACGCGCTGCTCGAACCGCTGTTCGCCTCCTCCAACACGCTTCGCGGTATGCGATTGTTCGGCCTGCCCAAAGGTGGACCCTTGTTCTCCCGATCCTCTTGCCGCGTCGACAAATTTCTCTCGCCGTCTTTCTCTAACTTCTCGCGATTACCGCCCTCGCTAACGCGACTCCGTCGACTGTTGCGCGCGGTGTTCTTCTCTGAAACAACGATTAAAGATCGGGGTCAGGCACTCGAACGTTCCGGCTAAACTGGCTAATCGGCTAACTCTCGGAGGAACGAAATCGTTCGGCGAGGAGTAACCTTGGATCTCCGCATTTACGAACAACGCGTCTATCGAAGGGCTCGATATCTTCGATGATCGATTCGATAACGATGACGGGGAAAGAGGACGGGTTGCAAGGTTACGCGTCAGCGTAAATGCGGAGAAACGCATCGGGACGAGCGGACTAGACGAGGCCAGAATGTGGGCGCGCGCGGAGAGAAGAGGAGAGAAGAGCACGTAGGTACGGACAGGTGGAGGAGGCAGAGGCCGAGAGGTTGAGAGACGGCGCAACAGGGGCCGCGGAGGGCAGAAGGGAGGGATTTATTACTCAGGATTTACTGTTATTACCCGGAGGGGGAGATGCACTCGAGCGGGCAACGGCGTTGCATACGTGGGGTGCGTTTATCCGATATGCGCAGAGCGCCTCGTGTGCTTCTATAGAGCGGAGAGTAGGCGCGCGTAACGCGGATGGCTACGTTCGCAAACTCGACACCGCACCTCTCCGCTTCGCGTTTCCTAGCGACTGCTGCGGTCGTCCTCCCGTCTCGCTTCTGCATGCGTTACACGCTCGCGCGTAATTGAACAGCGCCAACGTACTTTGCTTTACATTTTAATTCGCCTCGCCGTTATTCTCGTGACACGGCTGCGATCGTTGTTCGGAAACTAGTACGCCTTCGATTATCGTTCCGGGAGAAATAATCCAAGAATTAGCCCGATTTTATAAAAACTTCCTGCTCGAATTTCCCAGCGTTTTTCACGCGGGCAAAAAAGGTAACTAACGGGAAGAACGACGTTTTATCGCGACGGATTTCATTTTCAACGTTTGACCGACGATTAAACGGGCGTGTATACCGCGTCGCGGTCGCTAAACGATTCGATGGAAATGGAAACTGTCGGTGACGCTACCGTATTTTGATTTAACGCCCCCGGTCTTCCTTCCTCCAACGAAATTTAAAAAGTATCGTTATTCGCGAAGCAACGTGACCTCGTTCGGCTACCTTCGAGCAACTGGCCTTTTGAGAAGGGTACAGTTCAGAACAAACAACAACAACAACAACCTCGACTCTTTGTCAGAGCGAACAAAGCAGCCCCTGTAGCAGGCAGGATGAATATCGACTCGTCCCTAGCCAGCTTTCGCCCAGATGAAATTAGACACGGCTGACCGAGTCTGCCGGCCATTTAAACGCTTTGTTAAAATCTAAAGTTCGAGCAGGTAGTCCGTCTGCCTAGCCTCGACGATTCGCTTATCGATCGTCTCTACCCTTGCAGTCCCTCTAATCGGAATATCGTTCGTCCGAGATTCGATTACCCTTAACCAGGGGTGGCTCGTTTCGTGCCGAGCGATTATCCGATCCGTTGTAAATCTTCGCGACAGCTTTACGAATCTATCCAACGAAATAACCGTTCGACGGATTTAGGGAACTGGATTTCTCCACGGCAACGAAAGAGATCGGAAAACGTTCGGGAGTCTCCACCCGAGCGCTTATTTTAGAGCCGCTCTATTTCTGCCGGCACTCCCTGCAACGAGGATCTCCCGCGCGCGTTTGTTGATAAACTTATTTCGATCGAGAAGAAAAAGACGAACAAGCGATTCTCGCGCGAAAGCGAGAGAAAATGGCGATCAGGGGTGAAGACGAGAACGACACCGGGGACCGGTATAAAAATAAAAGCGTTGGCCACTCGCCAAAGACCTCCTTCCATCTTTTCTTATTCTTCTTCCGAGACTCGTAGGCCCCATGCCAAGCCGAGCACCGACTACCTAATTTACTCGTAAAACGACCAGCCGAGGCTCGACCGATTTATCGACGTTGTCGCGATCGATTCCAACTTTAAACCCTCGAGGAGCTAACCGATAAACAAACGCCCGATATTACCACTTTTCGAAAAGGTGAATACTCTCGTCGTCGTATCGGATTACTCGCATTTTATCGACCGTAGCTTCTTACCTACGCTTTCTCTCCTCGTGCCAAATTCTACCCGGGCGTGGTACTGACCTCTCGTCGAATAAATCTGACGAATAAACAGGCAAAATTTGGACGCTGCCGAAATGTCAACTCGAGGCTACGAAACGATGCTGTGAAAAGCACCGTAGCAACTGAACATTAATACGTTTTTTCGAGGAACGAGAGTAAAAATAAAGCTCGATGGATACAGCTCGAATTAAAGCGGAACGTCTTTTATAGAGGGATCTAGGTCAATTCTTCCCTGCGTCTTACTGGTTGAAAAAAGATCGGTATCGATGACATTGAAAAGGAGATTCTTTGGGAGCAAAATCGGGAAGATTGAGAACCGCTGGTTCGACACGGCGTCGGAAAGTTACGAGGTCCTCGAAAAGAAAAACAAGAAGCGATTCCGTATGGCCAACACGTGACGAATTCCAAGCAATTCCAAGCGGGGAGATCTTGTCTCTTTTTCCAGGCGGGCTACTTTTTTCCCTCTTTTGTTTCCCCCGAAAGAGGGAGAGAGAAACCGGGACACGCAACGTTGAACTTCGGGCCGGGAAAAGCGGATTAACGAACCACGGTCAGCGTGGAAATACCGGGAACATTCAATTATATCATCGTCCACGGTTCGTCGAAAACTTTCCTTCCTACGCGGCTTATCTGTTAGTAACGCAACCCGCGTTACGAAACAGAGTTGGGTAACGTTTGACACGCCGCGAATCGATCGCTATTATCGAATCCACGCGGATTCTCGCGTCCTTAACTTAAAATGTCACGGATTTATCCGTGCAGTACCCACTTTAACTCGTAGAAAACCTTGAACTTGCCAGAGAGCCGGAAAGCGGCAGTTAATTCTCATTCAGTAATTCCGATGTACGAGAGGGTTAACGGCCACGGTGAGGCGAGACGAGACGAGGCGGGGCGAAGCGAGCCGCTCTCGTTGGCTTTTCAACGAAGGCGAGAGATGTCCCCATTGTTTCTGAATTATTTATTAGCCGTAGCTCGGATCGCAACGATTGAATGGTCAGTGACCGGATGTGACGTGCCTACGGGCCAAGATGGCCGGCTACGATAATTACTCGCGTGTTTACGACCGATAAAGCCCCACCTCCTACACGGGCCACGGAGTTCACCTATGTGGCCGAACCTGCGAATACACGGAGAAAGCGAGAGAGTACAAAATGTCACCAGCACTACCCTCGACATGGATGCTACGCTCGATGGCTTTGACGGTTATTGTCCGATTTTCTACTCAGAAGTTTTCACATCTACATCTATTCAGAAGTTGTACTTTCGACTTTGATCGTGATGCAATTTTTCATTGACGCTGTTCGATTTCGGACTGTTAATTTGCTGTATGATTAGTGAGTCAATCAGAAGTAACTATTAACTACAATAGTATTAAGATTAACTGTTTGCACTCCTATGTTGAGTGTGGCTCGACATTTCTCTTGGATCTTATAAATAATTCAGATAAATTGGTTGAATATGTCTGTATCTGAGATAAAGACGTCTTATATATATTTTTATTTATTCACTGTTTATAATAAATTAAAAATGTATTTGTCATATACTCCTTATGCAAGGCATTTTACTGAGAACCCCTTTCTTGATATATTTTTTGTAAATTAAGGAGTCGATAGGTAACTGAAATTGAGGAGTGCAAAGGGTTAAAGAAAGTCAAAATGTTAGTATTTTGTATTAGACAGATAAAATTATAATTAAACTTGAAGTTCAATTTGAAATGTGTTAAATATCCAAGCAAGATTTGAACCGTCTGGCTCGTCAAAATACTGCAAGGGGTTAAAGAGAGTCAAAATGTGACTATTTTGTGTTCAACAAAATTATAATTAGACTTGAACTTCAATTTGAAATGAATTAAATATCCAAGCAAAATTTGTTGAATCGTAAGAGCGTCTCATCAAAATACCGCAAGGGGTTAAAGAAAGTCAAAATGTGACTATTTTGTGTTCACCAAAATTATAATTAGACTTGAACTTCAATTTGAAATGAATTAAATATCCAAGCAAAATTTGTTGAATCGTAAGAGCGTCTCATCAAAATACCGCAAGGGATTAAAGAAAGTCAAAATGCGACTATTTTGTGCTCAACAAAATTATAATCAGACTTGAACTTCAATTTGAAATGTATTAAATATCCAAGCAAGATTTGAACCGTCCGGCTCGTCAAAGTACCGCAAGTTGTTAAAAGAAATTGAGTGCAGAGTTGCAGCAATTAGTTCTGCACTTCAGCAACTTCATACAAGTATATTTAGAAGCAGTCGCAGAACGAAACTGTTGCAACACAATATATTTAAGGGTAAAGATTTCGGCCTTGATCGACATAATCGACAGCTTTTTGCATCGAAAAACGCCTCTCACTGTCGATCCGCTGACAAATGCGCTTTCAGCGGTAAATCGAGCTCCGCGTCACCGAAACGCGATTCGCGAGCAACATTCTATTAATAAATCATCGCCGGTCTTTCTTGTCGCTGCACCGAGCGATATATCTCGAAGGATAATCGGTCGGTTGCGACAGCGCGATAAATATCTGGTCTGAAAGGCGCGCGAGCAAAAATTGCAACCGCGTTTCCATTCGGAAAGTTCGAAGCGTCGGTTCGGCAGCTTCGAAAACCGTAGAGTCGTTTAATTGCTCGTGCCGTGGAGAGAATCGCAAACGTTCCATCGTCGGTCATTATTAGCTCTCGGCTTTATGGGAGGTCGTAAACGCGAGAAGCACCGAGCGGGCGCATCGGCTTCCAGCCACGTACCTGCGAGCTGACCTAACCCCTGCGAACAGCTCTCTCCGGGGCTCGGATCGATCTACGGGGTGTCCCCGACTTTATCGTTTCCTGCTACCTACCTACGCGTTTGCTCTAATAGCCCGGCGATCGATAATCCCTGCTCGACCATTTTAATCGCGTAAAACTTTCGAAGAAGGTTGGTAAAACTCGTGGAATACGATTTCTTGAATTCGCCTCCTAATCGAACGA